TATTACATCCAGACTGCTTCTCAAAATTTCCCTTTCCCAGCTCTCAGGACCCTGAGGAAGCACTGATAACAAGGGACTGGCTTGACTGGTTTGCAGAAATCTCATGGACTCGCTCCCTCACTCTGGAAAAGGTTCATTAGGGACTTTGGCATAGGTTTCCTTTCTCTTGGAAACTCACTTTCTGCATTAAGTGTAAAAAGCATCTGCCTTCTTGGGTGGTTTAGGTGCTGCAGGAGCAGGATGCGGTCTCCGAGCTGCCGTCTTGCAGGGACAGCGTGTGGCTGCTCGGCGGGTGCCGGGGTGCTGCGCCCACAACCTGCGAGCCGCAGCAGGGCATCACCTGGAGAGATCGTGATCTTTCTCACCTGGTTTGAAACGTGGTGTTTGTGTCCTCAAGGGCCCCGTAAGCTGACCCCAGGCAGGCTGCCTGCGATGCTTTCTGGAGGTGTGACGGAGCTTGGGCAGACCTGTCTGAACTGGCTTTAAACTCGCTTGTTCAGGCACCGATAGCCAGCGCAACCGCGGCAGCGTGGTTGCTGGTGAGTGCTCACCAGAGCCCCAAGCAGTTTGGCAGCAGGCGCTCTCCGAGCTGTCTTGGTATCTGTTCCCAAACCAGTTAGCTTTAATCCAGCCGTGATAGATCTGCGTCAGGTTGTGGTTGTAGCAACATCTGCAGCGTGGAGAAACCAGCACCCTCTCTCGGAACTCAATTAACTCCTAGTTGTAAGCCACAAGTCATCCTCTCTGCCGTCTAGCAGCACATACCTGCCCTCTGGCGTAGGTGGAAGAGGGATGAAGTGTTTCATTGTGTATTTTTACCTTAATAAACTCCCCAGAGAAGTTTGCTTCTGGGGGGAATCTAGCTCTTCGCAGCCTGTTGGCGTCCTGCATAGGAAAATGGTTAGCATATGTTTTTTGAGCAACAGACTCTTTAAAAACAGAGGCCACTGACTAGTTTTGATGTTTTCTTTCTAATGCACGGTCCATTCTATTCAAAGGTTGAAGTTTTCTTGTTTGTTTTTTGATTTGGAAATAACCTCGGTGGTGTTCCCTTGCAGATGAACGAAGACTTCCCCAGCCTCAGGAGCCCCAGCTGAGCTCTTGCAGAGGCTTCTGATCCAGCCGAGCCAAGACCTTCGTGTGGGTAGAGGACGTGAGTCAACAAATGGTCTCTGTGAGTTGCCAGGAGCTGCCACCCTCCTTGACCAGCTCTTCCCTGCTAGAGAGCTTTGCCAGCGCCCTGCAGCGCAGCATGCCGCCATCCCTTCTGCCGGGGCACGGCAGCGCGAGGGTGCCCGGCCACCCAGAAGGCTCTGGCCATCTCCTTGCAGGCAGCACCAGCCACTCTGAAGGCAGCCCGCTCCCCCTGCCCGGTGCAAAGGGGGAAGACGCAAAACCCCAGGTTGCTGTCTGCGAGGCTCACCTCAGGCTGCCTGACTTCTGCAGCAGCCCCTCCCAGGACTTCATTCCCACCCTGGAGGAGATTGAGGAGTTCCTAAGGGAGAAGGCTGAGTTCCTCAAAGACGAAGCAAGCGAGCTTCACCCAGCTGGAGGGAAGGTTGAGATCAAATCTGAGATCAGCTTAGGTAGCTGTGGGGAACAGCCTGTCTCCAGTGTGGTTCAAGAAGAAGAAGTCTCAAACGCTGCTCAGCCTGGAGGGACAGCCGATGGTAGCGACCAGGCAGTAGCCACTGGGAGCATCCCTGTTGTCCTCCAAATCCAGCCTCTGCAGATGGACAGTGGCAGCCCGCTAGCACAGAGTGCTACCAGTGGTGTCAGGGTGGCCCAGCTGGTTATCAGCTTGCAGGGCCAGAACCTGTCCCTCCTCCCTCAGGTCCCTGTGCCCGTCATGGACCAAAAATACGTCAAAATCGCCCCCCTGCCAGTCGCCATGCGGCCAGGGGCACCGGGGGATGTGCAGGAGGTGGAGGCAACCCCCAAGTATCAGAAAGCCCCCGCTTCCCTCGTCCGCATCCACAAGTGCTCGCACCCGGGCTGCGGCAAGATGTACACCAAGAGTTCCCACCTCAAGGCTCACTTCCGTCGGCACACCGGTGAGAAGCCCTACACTTGTGCTTGGCCCAACTGCGGCTGGCGGTAAGTGGGAGCTGCGGGACGCTGGGTGAACGGGCGTCCCCGCCAAAGGCCTGCCCTCGCTTGCCAAGGTGCGGGAGAGCTCTTGGCTAGTGAAAATCCAGGATAAAATCGCAAGTTTTCTTTCCCGAGTGACTTATAGATGAGAGCTGGAAGGAGGCCTGGAGGAGTGAAGCGTGCTGAGCGCTTCGGGTAGTTTTCACTCAGTCCAAAAGCTCTGAAAACCTCCGGCTGGGGGAGCGTGGCTGACACTCCCAAACACCCCAAATCCCCCTTGAACTGGCTGCCTGAACACCCTCTGGCAACACAGCTTTTCCAAGTGGTGGTTTAATTCTGCAAGCTTTCTCTGTCCAGTTCAGGACAATTTCTGAATTTCTGCAGTTGGGCTAGAAAACCGGCTTTTCTCATTAATATTTGTCCCAGGAAACAGGAGCCTTGCTGCTTCCTCAGGAGCCAGCGCGTAGTTCTGTGTTTGTTTAGCAACCCTTTGCTTTCTCTTGCTGTTTGCCTGCCCTGGCTGCTTGTATCCCTCAGACACCTGTAGCATATCTCCGTGTTGCATTTACTTTTGTCTGCACCGCACATGATGGTGGTTGTCATTTTCTTTCACCTGTGTTCCCTAAATTAACCATGCTTTTTAATCTTGCCGCACTTCTCTGATTATTTTTCTGCTGCGGTGGTCTCTTCCTGGTACCGCGTACCTGTCCTGGGGGGCAGGATCCTCAGAATGGCCTTTGGCAAGAAGGGTAACGGTCCTCAGGTCTTGCGTAGCACTTCTCATCAGCAGATCTCAAAGCATATCACAAAGAAAAACTGGTGCTGGCAGCACTGAGCTTTCCGGGTTTCTTATGCAATGCTTTGGCATACGCTCGCTGCCTTGTTTGCCCGAGTGGTGTGGTATGGCTTCTGTCTCGGGGTGGTGAAAGTCTGGAAGGTATGAGACTAGATCTGCATTTTGGGACTCCCTCTTGCCAAGCTGCTGTCCCTTTGCCATCAGCAATTGTCCCTCCATCTCACCCGTCACCGCAGCACATGTTTATAGGCATCGGCTCCTTTCCCAGTACCAACCAGTGCTGCTAAACCCTCCTGCACCTGATGCTCGGAGCCTGGGGACTGAGGAAGGGGACGATGGCAACCGCACAAGCGTCACTTTTCCCTCTGGGCAGGAGGAAGGGGACGGCGCTAGCCCGTACGATAGCGTCCTGCAGGCTGTCCGCTGAGCTGCTGCGCTCTGCTTCGCTTGCTGCCCTGCCCTCCCGCTCCGTGGGAGCAGTTACACTATGGAGTGATGTGCTCGGCTGCGGCGGGGGCTCTCTGGGCCGTGCTCTCTTTTCTAGATGTGGCCCTAACTGTAAATATATATGTCATTTCTCCTGGACCTGCTTTCTGTGAGGAGCTGAGACCTTGGAGCTTGCTTCTCGCAATAAAGCTGGAAAAGAAGTCAGTGGTTTGCACGGGAGACCTGAGGATGGTCTCGGGACGTGTTTTGTTTTTGCAGAGCCTTTTGTGAGCAGCCGCAGTATTTACGGTACCAGGTGTGAGCTTGAAATCCTATCGCTGGGAGTCTGGGGTTACATCTGAAGCTCCTTGCTTTGTGCTTCTTTGCGTGGGCATGTTTCAGCCAGATGGAAAAACCCTTCCGTCCTAATACTCCTGCCATCTGTGTTGGCTCCTTAGAGGCAGAACTGGAGTAAATCCTGTCCGGTCCTCCTCTCCAGCACTCCCGACACTTGGACACGCAAAACGTGCTGAAGCCACACCAGCTCCCGGGCCTTGTTGAGACCTTTGAGGTGGCACTCGTACAACAACTGCAGAGCAGCTTGCTGCACACAGGCCTGGCTCTGTGTGTGCCAGGTGGAAAAAAGGGTGCAGGAGAATTAAGTGGGGACATGCATGTGGTTAAAGGGACTTTCCAGGCTGTTCAGCTGATCTGCTTCAGGTGTGGGAGTTACACAGACAAGCAGTCTGAGCACTGGGTGCATCCTCAGAACTGCGGTCAACTTGCTTTGGCATGGAAATCTCTGCTTCTGTGCTCCAGGCTGGGTGCGCTTGCTTTTCCTCCCTCATGCTCGGTATTTAAACCATCTCACAGGCAGCTTCTCTCTCCCCAGCTCCCAGTCCAGCCCAGGCTGACAGTGAAGCTCGCTGCCGTTCCGAGAAACAAAGGGATGCTCAGAGTTTGCAAGGGGAACCCACGCTCTCAGGAAAAACAAGCCTTCTCTCAACAGCGATGCTGCTCTTGGCTGGGTGTGGGAGTTACAGTAAAGCCTTTCCACCCAGGCTCCTGAACGGTGTCCTTTGGTCACTGCCAGCCCAGCTGATAGCCCAAAAAGCAATTTCTCTCGGCCTCTGGCCTTGGGGCTGTCAGCTCCCAAAAGGTTTCACCAAGTCTAGTACAAATGAAGGAAGTAGGTGAACAGTGGCCTTTAAGAGCAGTGGAAAGAAATTCTTTTCATCTCTCCTATCTCTAAATCACCTCTTGGAGGGGTTTCTTTCCGTTCCTCCAGCAGGAGCCTGGGGTACCTGTGCCTCGCTGGTAGATTGGATGGAGCAGAGCAGAGGTGACCTGTCCAGGGTCACCCCAAGAGGCTGTGGCATTGGCAGCCCTCAGCCTGCCACGTGCTGGGGTCCTCGTGTTCCCTGTCGGGTCTAGCAGCAAAGGCTGGATCCACCATGCTTCCCTTCTCCTGCAGGTTCTCCCGCTCAGATGAGCTCTCCCGTCACTTTTTTTGAAAGCCGTACCAGTGTGCCGCCTGCGAGAAGAAGTTTGCCCGCAGTGACCACTTAGCCAAACACGTGAAGATCCACCGGGGCCAGCCGTACAGCCAGCGGACGCTTCAGGGCGGCAGCAGAAGTTAAGTCTTGCTGCTCATCCTTGCGAGGCTGAGTCCAGGAGGCCCTGAAGCTGGGCAAACAATGCAAAAAACACTAATGAAGAGGGGCAAATGACTCTGTCTAACAAATTATAGGGGATACAGCGTTGTACCTCTATTCAGGGATGACCTATATTCACAGCCTGGTACTGCTGTCCCTCTCTTAAATATATGTGATGGAAACCGAATTAATTCAGGGTGAG